CCAAGGAAAGTTTTAAAGTAAGGTTTTCTTGATCTCATGACCAGAATTCAATGTATGACACCACCTTAGCTGTTTTTAGGAACTTAATTCTTTTGCTGAAGACATTCAGGACAAGATGAGAAAGGAAAAATTTTTTAAATGGAGTACTCACCACTGCTAAAGGGGGTGGGTAGAGGAAGGAATAAGTAAAATAGCACTTTCAGTGAAGTCCAGGGTTTTTAATAGAGTAAGGCCTAGCTGCCACTGAATGATGGTCCTTCACCTCTTTGACTTTTTGAGGGGGGGATTTGCATGGTAGTGGTTTTACTAGGGCAAAGAATATACACACTTTAATGACTTTTGGGGTATAGATCTAAAGTACTTTTCAGTATGGTTGGAACAATTCACAATTTCACCAAGAGTGCATCAGTATGCCCACAGTCCCCCCAACAATGTTCATTTTGTGGCTTCATTTCCCAGAACCAGACAAGGACTAACACAGACAGATGATCAAGTCATAGAATCATAGATTTGTTAGCTGGAAATCCTGTAGAGGTCATCTGATCCAACATCCTCATCATCCTCATTTTATGGATGAGGCAACTGAGGCCAAGAGGATTAAGTAACTTGGTCAAGGTCACACATGGAGTAGGTGGCAGAGCTGGGACTCAAACTTAGGATTCAAACTCTCACCCCAAATTCAGAACTCTTTCCCATGCATCATGCTTCTTCAGTCAGAATTACACGACTCCTGGTATCTTTCTGGTAAGTGTTTCTTTAGAGGTCTGGTTTTAATAAACCATAGAGTTAAATTAGAGGTGGATGTGGTTTTGTTTCCGTTCCTTGAGATTCAGAACCAAACTCAAAACTCCGTTGAGTAAAAAAGATATGAAGCCAGAGAAACACCCAGTAGGCTACTAACATCTATTGTAATTTTTAAAACAATGCTTTCTCATCAATCTTTAATTTCTGAGTGAGAATAAACAACACTCTACAGAACTGTGTATTCTAATTTTATATTCCGATTTTATATTTTCCTTTCCCAATTATAGAAATGTATATTTTTTTCTTAAGTTTTTAGCGAGAACAAATTCAATTCTACTCAGTTTTCATAGCAAAAACTAACAAGAAACATTTCTATATGGAGTTTTATTAGTTAATTCTCAGTTGCTTTAGATCATGTTCTATCATTTCTGGACTCTCATGGACTCAGGATCAAATTGTGGAGGATTTCTAAAGGTCATTTATTTATCTTGGCTGATCTGCTGCCATTCATTTCAAATACTGGAAACTTTTGAAATGAATTCAGATCTAGGTATTCAGTGGCTCACCATGCAAACAGACCCAGAAAGGAACAACCTTTGAAACAGTAAAACATTTAATTGTGATGGAAACATTGATGATGATGATGATGATGATGAAGAGGAAGTACCAAGCTTACTCCCTCAAGATGATGCTCTCAGGTTATCATACTCTGAGCAATTATTAATCTAGAAAAATATTCAGTAAGATCAAAAAATAAAATTTTTTTTACATGGTACAGAAAGTTTAAAACTAAAATTAGAGCTCATAGCTAGGGAAGCAGGCAATTTAAAACTCAACCCAAACAGGAAGTACTAAAAGTACATGTATATGCTAACAAAGGTACCCAACCATTTCTTCAGGTCATTGAATATACCTTCACTTCTAGTATCTACTGGAAAGTCTCAGAAGACTTCAGTAAAATGAGAGGTATTGTCAGGATAGAAAATCTGGTTTATCACCACAAAAATGAGAAACTGTTATAGGTCTTTTATCAAAACAAGAGTCCTTTAGTGCAGAAGAGTCTCCACTTTGCAAGGATCCATATGGACTTTCTGCAGGCCTATCGGACCCCGAGTTCACTTCAGTTTTCCATTTCTCCAATTTGGCAAAGAGTTGATACTAGCACAAGTTCCAGAAAGTGGCTCAGACCAAATAGTACACATCTGGAAATAGAAGACGATCTCATCGAGAAAGACCACCATTCATGGGGAAAAAACAAAAACTACAGGTATTTAATATACATAATAAGTATGAAGAATAGATCTCACTGCTATATACTATGCTATAGCTGCAAATTAATTGGGTACTTGCAAATACTGATGTAGATATGGAATTGAACTGCATAATATTTAGGCAAATACTTTGATACAGAGCACTGTATATGAATTCAGAAGACCTAGGTGGAAATGCTAGTTCTGCCATTGACTGTGACCTTGGAAAAGTCATCTAACTCCTCTGGGCCTTGATCTCATTTGTTAAATGAGGTAGGAGGAAGGGAACTGGATGGCCTTGCTAGGGTTGTTTCTAGCTATATATGTAGGATCCTACATGTTTTATAATGATTATAAATAGAATGTACTGTATAAGATGAAATCCATTAGGTTGATAGGGTTATCTTATTTTGCTTTTGGGATTATACACTGGATAATGACACCCAATAAATGTAATTTCTGAATTAGGAGGCCAAATGGATGAAGTGATTATTGATGTGATAAACTTGTTGATCAATTAGTAACCCATCAATAAGGGGAACTATCAGCAGACTACTTTCAGAGACACTCATAAAAGATCTACCAAAGTGAAAATAAAGGATCTGTGAGGCACATTTCACTAACAAATCTTTCAGAGTAGATCTACAGGAGAAGCAGAAAGGGCTGGATAAGTACTTTTCTGATGATTTCATTATTGTCCTAGTTTAAAAGGGCCAGCCCCATGCTAATGGATCACAGGCCTGATTATTATAGATAGTAGGAAAATATATTGGATGAGTTGATGATTTAGGAGACAAACTTGATCCAGGACCAAAGTAGGATTGAGAGAAATTAGGCTCAGAAAAACTATGAAATACCAAAGCAAAACCTAGCAGAATACAAGTTAAGATAAAAATCACCACAAATGTCCTCCCCCCACCCCAGAAAGTACAGTTCATTTTTTAGTTTTTGAAGAAAAGTACTCATTTGTTATATAATGATCATTTGTGGGTCTAATTTGTATATGGAGGGAAGATGCAAAGGTTTGTAAGTCCAGGCAGACTGAAAATAAAGGAGCTAGGGCAAAAAAAAAAAAAAAACCACTCCTCAGATACCCCTACCACGGGAATCCACACTAATGGGAATAAGGGATAGAAGATAAGGGGTAGACTTTAGAAGGCAGCAGTAGGACAACCTTCATAGCCACCAGTATGTCAGGCATGTACTAACTATTCTAAGCTTTAACAGTTCCATAAATTTCCATAAATATTTTTCTCTTGTTCGCAAAGCTCTTTTGTTCACAAAACTTTTTCTCATAACCACTGAGAGAGTTTCCCAAGGGAAAGAACATTCCAATTGCCCTGAACATAAAAATTACTCTTTCCCACATATATATTCAGCCTAATTTTTGACATTACCCAATACATAGCCATAGTACCATGTCACCTTGTCCACAAATAAAGCTATAATTAGTGGTAGAGCCCAATTAATGCTGTGGATTCTTGTGGTGGTCATTATCCTAGCCTCCAGCTTCCTACTATTTTAATCACCACACCAATAACCTCCATAGTACTGGCAACAGAAAACACTAGTTTAACTCTCTACTCCAGGCTCTTTTTGTAGTTGCCTTGCAATAGGCCAAAGGAATACTTCACCTTGAAATGCTAATGCCCTTTAGCACCTTGAAACAGTGCTAAAGCCCTTAACAAAGTCAAGCAATTATGTTTCTGTTCATTCCACAGGAATTAGAACCAATGAGATAATCTGGCCTTGTCAGTCCTCTTCCACCTAGGGCCAAGGATAATGGCTGTAGTTATCAGAGCACTGTACTCACTACCTATAGGAAATGTGATTTTCACCTGTTTATGTCTATCCTTGCAATAAATCTTCCATGACTATCTCATGTAATTATTTCCTGCACTATGTGATTTCAGCCCAAATACTGACTGCATCATCCAAAGGCTACTATGTGAAGCTGTGAGAAAACTTGGCATAGCCGCTTTAGATAAATACTCCTTAGGCTAATGGGGAAAAGAGAATATGACGAAGGGAAAGGTCAGGTAATCAACGTACATGTCATAAATTAAATAAAATTTAGAATGCTTAACATTTTTTGAACTACCTAGAAAGATATGAATGATTGGGGAAAAAAGGCATTAAGTGTTTACTATATGCTACTTGCAAGAGACATGGCAGCTAGGTGATACAATGAATAAAGTGTCAGGCCTAGAGTCAGGAAAACTCGTCTTCCTGAGTTCAAATCTAGCCTCAGACACTGACTAGCTGTGTGACCCTGGGCAAGTCACTTAATCCCTGTTTACCTCAGTTCCCTCATCTGTAAAATGAGCTGGAAAAGGAAATGGCAAACCACTCCAGCATCATTGCTGAGAAAACCCCAAATGGGGTCACAAAGAGTCAGACACGACTGAAACAAATGAACAACAACAGAAGCAAAGGACATAAATGCAGGCCAAGCAGAAGTGTTTTAGTTCAGCTTCTAGGCCCTTTTATTAAGGGGATTTGTTCTGTAAGGTTTGGATTCAAAGGGCCGCACTTTGGGACCTGGAGGGCCACATGTGGCCTCGAGGCCATAGGTTCCCCACCCCTGGTTAGAAAATCACAGGGATAGTGATTGAAGGCACAAAAGAGTAGATTGATATACCCTAAGTAGCAACAGCAGTATTATTTGATGTTTCAGAGCTGGAAAGATGGGGGTTGGGAGTGGGGGAAGGAAACACGTGGAAGCAAGACAGCTAACTAGAAGATGGTTATGGTTGGATAGTGGACCATGTGAAGCACTAAAAATTAGGGCTGTACAGACCCAGGGTAATGTCCTTTGGGATATGGTTTCTGGCGTGGCAGGACACATGTTGAAAAGATGGCCAGGTTATAAAGTTATAATCAGTTCTATTGTAAATATCAATTTAAAAACAAATTTATTTGCATTGTTCAGAGTATTGATTTATAAAGGCAATAATAAGCATAATTGGGCAAAACAAATAGTGGAAAGCCATTTATTAAATAATTCTAAGGACATTTAGTCTCATCACTGTCACTGTTTGAACTATTACTATCATCATAAATAGAAGTGTTTCTAATGGAAGATACCATCATGTCTACAATCTGTTTTTTAGGATTTTCTTCCAAGTCTGTTTGTATGGCTCCAGCTTCTGCTAGTTTCCATTCAAGTTCTGTAATAAGAAATGGAACAATATTACTTAATCAACAAGTGTGTATTGATCTAGACGAAAATTCAGTAAGATGAAAAGGTAAATATATTTACATGGTACACAAAGTTCAAAATTAAAGTTGGAGCTTATAGTTAAAGAAGGCACAATTTTAAATTCAACTGGAAAAAAGCATGAAAAGTAAATGGATTTACTATAAAATGAAGGTACCCAACCTTCCTGGATTTATTTTTTTTTTGGACAGTCCTGATTTCAAGGGGTGGGGGGAATATTATACTTTTAATAAGGCTTTACATGAAGTACATTCTTTTTCAGACAATGTGTCTTGGTTATGGGAGTGACAGCCACTATAAATAAACTATACTCTGACCTTTGTCAGAACAGACCAGGCAGAAGTTTCTGTCTTGTGAATAGAATCCTGAGTCGTGAGGCTGATAACACTGCTCAAGGGCTTTACTCTAATTAGAATGTGGGCTGTTTCCCCAACTAGTCTCCCTTGGGAACATTAGAATCTGGTTTACGTCTCTCAAAAAGCAAAAAAAAAAAAAAAGCATTGTTTATTTAAGGCAGTGTTGAACACAGAAAAGATTCTTATATGCGCTCTTAGCCAAACAATAGAGAATCCCTTTCAAGGAGGTCCATTCCTTTCCACACAGTCCTCAAAAACTCACAGCACCATTCAGTAAAGTGCCTGCTTCATAGGACACAGTGGATCCCAAGGCTGATGCAGTATTCTTGGGGTAGGCTTCTTCTTCCATACGGGTAGGGGAGAAGAAGACGGTTTCCTTACTTCATCTTCCTTATCTCTCAGCCTAATTCCAAAAGTTTACATGGCTCCCTCACACTAGTTTGCATCCAACCTCACTCCCAGGTGTCAACGTTGAGCATTAATAGACATTTCTAAACCATTTTTAGAATGAGCATTTCTAACAAGAAGCAAATCTACAGAGTAACTTAAAATACAGGAATTCCAAATGGTTAACAAAGAGTGAGTCCTTAATACTCTCTTGCAGGACAAAGGAAAGCCTTGTGATATGTCAGAAGCTACAAAACTTTCCATGCTAAAAGCCTAAAAACAAGTGTAAAAAAAGACATAACCACAATGGTATAAATAAAAAAAAACCACCTTTCTATGGTAATTTCTGTAATACTAGACCCCAACAGTCCAGTTTTTCTTTCATATTGAGCAGAATTATCAGTAGGCTATAATACATGGAACATTTAAGCTCAAATAAGGGGAGGAATCTGATATTTAGTTGCCTGAGAATGGCTGGATTGAATAATTTCATCAACATAATATCAGAGTACAAAATATTATATTTTAAAAGTATGATTGAATAACCTTGATTTTGACCTGCTAAGCCTAATAATGTCAGGCCACTTCTCTTTCATAAAGTCAGGGAATGGTAAGGACCAGGCCAGGACTTATCAGAATGCAGAAAAGTACCACGTTGAGGGTATGGAATCTATTTCTGTCTAGAGTGAAAAACTTAGATTTTTCCAGAAAAGTATGGATGCTGCTGAAGGAGGTACAATTCTTTGATCTGGAGGTTGCAACTGACAGGCTGTAACATAAGGGCAGCCTCTCAACCAATTCTCTTGATTTCTCTCCACCCAATCATATGGTAGAGATACTCTCTCTTTCTTTGTCCCTTGTCACCCTCTGCCTGGCATTGATATCAGAAAGTGATGAAAGATGATGCTGGAGAAGGGTGCACTCAAGGTCAGATAAGTAAAGATCCCAAGTCCAGAGTTTCTGCATCTTCATCTAAAGGAAGGCACTACTGGAGCCTATCTATCTATTGGGTTCTCTTTTGCAAGTTCAAAGGTGAGCAGCCATGAGGAATAAAACAAACTCAAACTGTTCATTTCCTAGAATACCTGGGTTCAAAATAGCTTCTGTGGTTCTTGGGAGATTTCCTGGGTTCAGGAAATCAGGAAATTATTCATTGCTTTATTGTTACTATTTATTTATACACGCTTATTAATTCTTTTTAAGAGTAAATGCTACATGCAATATTCAAACATATTTGTCTACTTCTGTGGAGAATTAATTCCATTATAGCAAGGTCACGTGACTAGGGCTCACTGAACTACCATAAGTTCAAAAAAAAAATGGAAAAAAGGTTTGGCCAGTAGACTGGGACACAGAACAGATTTCTGGACAAATCCACAAATCCATGCACATTTTGAACGATTGCAGGCTGAAAGACGCTGATCTGAGAAGGTCACTATCTGAGCCCCACAGAAAGATTTGGACCCATTAAACACTTCTGCTCATTGCTCATTGGACTGGATGTACAAAACCTCTAGGTTAGGCAACAAGCACTTATTAAGTACTTACTATGTGCCAGGCACTGTGCTAAGTGCTAGGAATACAAATAAATGCAAAGAGAAAGCTCCTGCCCTCAAGGAGCTTACATTCTATGAAGACATGCTAAAAGAAGCTGAAAAGTACGCGTGAGGGATGTACCTGTGGAAGGGCAGTGAGGGATGGTGTCAAAGTCTAGAAAGGCAGGAGAAGCAGGAAAGAAATGAAGTTGAATTGGCCTGTGATCCCTCCCCAAAATGAAGGCCTTGGGAGGAATGGTAGAATGGGGCCCAGCATGGCAGAGGAATGTTCCAAGGTAAAAGGATGCTCTAGATGATAAGCCCCAGGTACTTAGAGAAGTTCTATGGTTAGACCACAGCTGAGTCACTGTTTCAAAGTCCAGATGGTCAAAAGCAGAGCCAGGAAGGAAAAACTAAGGGAGCAGGTTTGCTCTCTCTTCAAAATATTTTTCTATTTCTTCCTTTTCCAAGATAATTCAAAACTATTTCCAAGACAAACATGCAACTCTCTGGTATGCTAAACAGAGTTAGAGGCTAGCATCCGTTTAGCAGTTGGGATACCATACAGCTACTAATCATGTGTCATTACAATTGCCAAAGAATCAAAATTGCTGAGGAACAACAAGATACACAATACATGTTAAGTAGGTTGTACAATATTAACTAAGGATGACTTAAATTCTCAAAGTAACATAGAGGATGCCATCAAAGACATATGAAAGTGGACCTGTTTTACAGTCTGAGTACAATCTAATAGGCAGCCAGAAAAATGCTGTAAGTGCCGTTATGTACGTATCTTTATAAATTACCTTTAAAATAACTCAAGACAAAATTACCTTCTAACTTCAGATTTATTCCTCCACATTCAATAATTCCAATGAATTTTCCTTCTATTTGGCCATTTTTATACACAAAAACTGTGGGCAAACATCTGTCATGGTAGTGTTGAATACAGCTATTCACAACAGCCTTAACAAATTTGGTTTCTGGAAACTTTCTTGCTAGAACACTCAGATGTTGATTAAGCAGTAAACACATTTGGATGCTGAAAGACAAGAGGAATACATATATGTTGATTTTCAAAAAATAGTACTCTAAGACGGAAAAAAAATAAGTCAGAAGAGCTTTGTGGCACAAATATATCATTATACCGTCTTTCCTTTCTGTTCAAACCATTTGACACTTTTTTCTTTTAGATTAGCCTGTCTGCACTCTTAAGACTCTAGGGGTAATTCAAAAGTCACTGTGTTATCTCGGAGGTTGGATTCCTGATCAGGGTAAGCCAAGGTAGTTCAGAACTTCCCCAGAGATAAATCTGGCCTGAGACGATTCATAATTTAGAAGGTCTCTCAGGGAGTAGATAGGGCACTGGCAGTTCTAATATATTCCAAGGAATCTCAAGTGATTTTGATTCATATCACCTATCATTCCTGGAAAGAACTTTTAATCATCTTAAGGAAGGAGAAAATAGGGAAAGATGGGTAAAAGGGAACAAATCTACTCCCTCAGCTGTCCTCTGGACTTTCCATTCTAGCCCCATGTCTAGGGTGGAATGATGGGGGAAAGCAAGACCAAAGTTTTTTTTGTTTGTTTGTTTTTATTTTTTTTTGCTTTTTGGTGAGGCAGTCGGGGTTAAGTGACTTGCCCAGGGTCACACAGCTAGTAAGTGTCAAGTGTCTGAGGTCACATTTGAACTCAGGTCCTCCTGATTCCAAGGCCAGAGTTCTATCCACTGCGCCACCTAGCTGCCCCCAAAGTTTATCGTGATAAGCCATCTTGGAGTTCAACATATAAAGATGTTACATATTACCCCTAAAGAGAATAATTTGCATGAAACTACCTTCAGTGAAGACACTTTGGGGCTCAAATCAAAAAAAGAAAGTTCTGTTGTAATTCTAAGTGAAAAGTAGATACTGATCCATTTAATTTCATCAAAATCATTTTAGTACTTAGGGAAAAAATATAGTACCTAAAGGTGATATTTTGGCTCATTTTACAAAGAGATAACTTGAGGCAGAGAAGTACAAATAATTACAGTACCTATATGCATGCATATTTGTCTTCCAATACTGTGTCATTACTTTTGATAATCATCTCTTATAAATTCTAATTGCTTTTTTCAAATAGCCCACTGAGTTATTAAAATACACGAAAACTTTCAATGACATTACACATTTGCCATATGAAGTGCCATGGTAATTTGGAAAGAGCCCTGGATTTGGAATCCAATTTTTAAAAATATTAGATATTCCAAGAAAATTCTGAAAGATTTATGATGAAAAGAGTTGTCCATCTTCAGAGAAAGAACTGGTGGAACCTAAATGCAGATCAAAGATACTTTTTCTTTGTTTTTTCTTGGGTTGTTTTTGTCTGTGTTTTCCTTCACAGTACATCTTACATGGAAATGCATTTTGCATGACTACACATGTATAACTTATGTCAAATTGCTTGACTTCTCAATCGGGGCAGGAGGGAGGAAATTTGGAACTCAAAATTTTAAAAAAGAATGGTAAAATTGCTTTTACATGTAACTGGGAAAAAATAAAATACTAAATTAAAAAATATTAGATATACAATGTCCTTTTCTAAAGTAGAGTTTTATAATATGAATAAATTACTATTTTATTTTTTAAAATTTAGATTATATTTGAATCATGGTCCAGCCGCTTATTACTACATGACCTAGGCATGCCACTTAATCTCTATAAGCCTCAATTTCTTCATTTTTTAGTTATTCATTTCTCTTTGGCTAAGCAATGTGGTTAAGTGCCTTGCCCAGGGTCACACAGCTAGTAAGTGTTATGTGTCTGAGGCTATATTTGAACTCAGGTCCTCCTGAATCCAGGGCCACTGCTCTATCCACTGTACTACCTAGCTGCCCCACAGTTTCCTCATTTTGAAAATGGTGATAAGATCTACATTATCCATGTAAGAGAGCTGATCTTTCACAAAAAATGGGCCAGATACTACGGTCTTAAATTAACTTTAAAAATGAAGCCATGACAGATGATCCATTCATGTGGTACAAATTAATCCCTTGAGTGAATCAGAAAGGAACTGTAAGAAACAGACTCCAAGGGGAACCCAACTCCTGAGAGGATGAACAAAGACCAGAAAGCTGTGAAAAAATAAAGACAAGGACCACAAAAGGCCAGTACTTTGGAATCAAGGCTGCTTGGGTCCATCGGGTCCAATGTTTGTTGACACAGAAGCTACATTGTAGACCCTCTGGACTACAGACCCCAAGGCAGTAATCCTGTATCTCTTTTGTTGCTAGACAGGGTGTACCTATTGGGAGGAAGCACCTCCCAAAAAGAAAAAGAAATTTGTGGAATACTGAGATACTTGGCCAGATGGGCTGTCCCTGGCTGAAGTCTGAAAACTGACAAAAAGATGAAGAGCATTACAGAGTGAAGAAGGAACCCTTATACCAGCAACAAGGCAGTGAGTGAGTGAGGGGCAATTAGCAGTGATCAAATCTCTTTAATCACCACACCATCCTCTTAACACTACTGCGCATACATTACAGAGTTGCTTTGAGAGAAAAAATAAAAGGTCAAATGCTGTGCAACTCTACGGAACTACATAAATGTAATATTACCTCAATTGCTAGAAAAAAGTGTCACGATAACTTGAACCCAATGGCTGTTAAAGGAAAAAAGATCCAAAGTCTTATACTCCTCTGGAAAATACAAAAGGGGAGTCAGAGTAACAAATATTTGCTAAATGATACACAGCTGTGGCTCTTTAAAACAATAAATGTTCCCTTAAACAGGCATATAAACCCAATTTTTAGAAATATTAAGATATATGATGTACTTTTCTAAAGTATAGAAGAGTTTTGTAACATGAATATACTATGACTTTATTTTTAAAAGTTGAGATTATAAATTGAGCTCTCTCAAAATGGGACAAATCTGAATATATAGGCTTACAAAGAAATATATTTTCTTGCGTTCAAAATAAACAAATGTTTTTATTCACTATAGTAGACCAGAATATTTTTTAAACTTCTGAGCCACTCAACAGAATTTCAAAGAACCGTGAGGCAGTTAGGTTGTTGTTGTTTGTCCTTTGTTCTCAAAAAAGACCAATGACATCACAAGGGTGAGGTCTTAACTTGCTTGTGAATTAGACTTAAGTGCCCATATGGCAACTATGTGGTACAAAGGATAGATAGTTAGTTGCACCTGGAGTCAGGAAGACCTAAATTCAAATACTAGCTTCAGATACTAGCTATGTTACCCTGGGCAAATCATTTAATCTCTGTCTGCTTCAGTTTTACTTCCCATGGTTTGTTGTGAGGATGCAATCAGAAAATACTTGTAAGGCTTTTTTGCAAATCTTAAAGCACTATACAAATGCTAGCTATTATTTAAACGTATTCTCAACATCTCAGGTTCAGATACATTTTGCTAAAAACCTGATACAACCTTTTGGAGAATTTTCAGAATTTCTCTGTCCTATAAAAGCGAAAATAAAAAAAAATAATTTAGGGTATTTACTTGATCAATCAATAACTAACACTATCTATTTTGCTATTCTGATTTAATCCTAGAAAAATAGAAATACAGTGGAACTACTTTAAATAGTTTGTCATGCATTCATCACAACTGGGCAAATATCTCAGTTCTTCCCATGCCTATTAGTATGAAAATAGACCCAACAGTGCTTACAATTGTTAGGAGCTAAACAGTTAACTTTTTCCTCTCAATTGCATGAACAGAAAAAACATTTCTCTATCATAGGTTCCCAAAGTGGGTGATACTGCTCCCTAGGCAGCACTGGAATGATCCAGGGCAGGGGTGTGATAGCCTCAGGTGCAATTGGGGGGTGTTGGATAAAAAGAAAGGGGTGGTGGAAGCATAAGGAAAGAAGAGAAGAATATTTCAAAAAACTGTTCGTATATGTTTCATCTGTTGTGTAAGAGAGTCATAGTGATTACATTATTTTCCAAATAAACACACAATATGCAAGTTTTGACCCATCAGTGGTTAAGTCCGCCAACAGGTCTTAACAAGCAAGTGTTGGCAGGCAAGCATGTGGTGCATTGTCGGAAGCATGCACTGGCAGGAATGTGTGTATGTAATGATTTGTTTACAATACTATCTACTATACAGTTACATGATACAATATTGCATCATCAAAATTTCAGTGTAGGGAAAAAAACCACAAATTTACAATAAATTATTAAATTTAAAATGCGTCATTTAAAAATATATATCTTATATTTTTTGAAATTGTGCAAAATTTTAAAAAAAACCATTAAAGGGTTAAAGAAAGTAGATTTCCAGGGAGGCGCGAGTAATTTTTTTTTTTTTTAAAAGAGGGTGGTATGCCAAATAAGTTTGGGAACCTCTGCTCTAGATACTACAAGTGCATAAACATGGTCAGAATTTGTGATAAGTTAAAGATCTTTGCCTTAGAATGGTCATCCCCTCTTTATTTGGTGTAGAATTTTATATGTATTAATTAATAAGAAAAATCCAATTTTGGAAAAAAGTTTTACCTTAAGAGGTTACCATCACATATTGTAAATTAATTATTTAAAAGCTTCAAATATTTGCTTCAAAATATGCATTCTTTCTAGAAATAAAATCAATCAAGAAACCTGCAAACTTAACAAAAGTAACACTTTTCCTGACCATAAACATGCATTTTAAAATACCCTGTACAAAAATAACATAATTTTTAAGCAAAGAGATGTGGTTATCAAAACCAGGACTGGAATTATTTTCAAGTAACTAGCTTAATTTAATTTTTTACTCCATAAAGCAAAAACCAAAGGAAAACAAAATAAAGCTTTGATGATTATTAAAAATCATTATACACATTCTCTTGAGTACTGCTCATGGTATATTTACTTGAACCTTAAAAACATAAAAATACATTTAAAAACATTACAGATTAACATTTTGGAGAAATAGAATAGGGATTACCTTGATCTATACAAGTGGATTATAACCCAGACATCTTTTTCTGCATTTGTAACTTCTTTTACATATTGGTCACCAGAAATTTCTCTTAGTTCTCCAAATTTTTTTGTTTTCTGAAGAGCTTTCCATTCTTGCAAACGCTTTTGTCTAATTAAAGAAATGAAATTCTCAAAAGACAGTCATTATAATCCTATTGGTATAATTTTGTAGACCCCAAATATTTAAATATTTGTAAAAATGACTATAGTTACCAATTTAATAAAAAATTGGAAAATAACACTGTATTACAACTTTCTATTATGAATTTCTCTTTTGACATTTTTGTCCTGCTCGTGCCCCATTATAAAATACAGGAAAGACAAGACTGTCTAAAAGTTCTATGTTTCTGAAGCGAGAAAAGAAAAAGGAAGATGTTTAAACAGTAGAGGCTGTTCACACCAAACATTTTTGTTACAATCAACAAGCATTTATTAGGGACCTACTGTGTGCCAGGCATTGTGATAAGACACTAGGAATACAAACACAAAAGTGAAACAGGGTTTTCCCTCAAGGTGTTTAAACTGGGAGAGACAACAAGTACATATGTAAGTATGTCAAAGGAATATATAAAATACTTATAAAGTTATTGGTTGGGGGAGCGGGAAGTGGGAGAAAGGAGCTAGCATCTCCTTTCTGAATCAGGAACAGCCTTATGTAAATGGCAGCACTTGAACTGACCCTTGAAGGAAACCAGGTATCCTAAGGACCAGAGAGATGGGGAGAGAGTGTGCTACAGGCGTAACACCCTGTTATAACAATTTAGCTTGTTTTAAGATTAGGAGGGCACATAACAGCTCCTAAGACCCATATGGTTCCCTCCTTTTAAGGGAGTTTATCTTAGACAAAAATTTATGAGTTCTATCACTACTGTTCTGAGACTCCAGTTAGGAAAAGTCTTAACAATGCAGTAGAAAATGGGCTTTCTGCTTAACTTTATTACTGTTTTAAAATTAAATGAAAAATATCTTCAATTAACAAAAAAATATTTTCTCTCTCTTCCACCTCCCTTGCTCCCTACTGAAAAAAAAAGAAAAACAAAATATTCATAGTGAATATTTGTGGTCAAGTAAAACAAATTCCTATGTTGGCCATGTACAAAAAATATGTCTGATTCTGCATCTTGAATCTATTGACCTTTCTTGTCAGGAGGCAGGTAGTATACTTCTCATTACTGGTCCTCTGTAATAATTCTGCCTAACTTCACATTTATATTAATAAGCAATCCATAGACCTCTTTGTGGTTGAGGCAAACTTCAGTTTACACAAACATCTGAGTCACAAAACAGCAAATTATATTACATTGTCTATGGACAGAAAGGTACCAGGACAGGAAGTTGTCTTTTCTCAAGTCTTCTCTCAGCCTAGGTCTTTTGCTCTGACACACTTGGAGAGCTGATGACCTGCCTCAGTTATCTTCCTTCTCTGCCACAGCTCAGTCCTACCTTTGCTCCGTTAGGGTGTGTCAGAATGCCCCACTTGCTTCAGCCCTTTGAATAAAGGCAGGTCTTACTGGTGTGATAAGCTTCAAACGTCCCCTGGGTTATAACCAAATTTTCTTGGAAGATCTATACATAATTCTTCTTCAATGTTACTATGTTTCAAATAACTTTTCCATATTAGTCTATAAGGCCTATGAGATTGTTTGATTGGGCATCTTATTACTTACTTTCCCCCTGAACCCACATCCCTTGAGAGCTTTTCAATTTCTGTTGAGGGCTTCACCATCTTCTGAATCATCTAGATTGGCAACCTTAGCATCATCCTCAACTCCTCACTCCTGTTCATCCCACAAATCCAATCAGTTGCCACATTTTGTTGTCTAAACTGCCATATCTCTTACATTTTTTTGTCCCTTTTCTCTCCAGTTATAAAGATACCACCCAGTTCAGAGGCACTCATTGCTGGACCATTGCAATGGCCTAACTGCTCTTTCTATTTCAAGTCTCTCTTTCTCTCTCTCTCCACCAATCCATCCTTTGACTAAACATGTCATTCCCTACTCAATCAACTCAAACATTCCCTATTTCCTTTAGCATCAAATATAAACTCCTGTTTGCTATTTAAAGCCTTTCCCAATCTGGAATCAGGCAACATCTCCAGCTCAACTCTACATTATTGCCCTTCACACACTACAGCCTAGCCAAACTGGATTCTTACTGTTCTTCATCCTTGCTAATTCAGTACCAGCTCCTTGCTTTTGCAGTGGTGTTCCCTATTCTTGGGGTGCATGGCTTCTTCAACTCTGTTTCTTAGAATTTCTAGTTTTCTTCAAGGCTCAGCTCAAGCACAACCTTCTTCATGGGTTTTTCCTCCCAAACTTCTAGTGACTATTTTGTATTTTGTATACACACACATATACCTATATTTTATATAAATATGTGACATAACATATATAATATTATATAATATACAATAAATTATATGAATATATTTTATAAATACAAATGTATTTTATTCATTTTTATAAATATTTTATATATGTACATATATATGTTTAGGATAGGGATTGTTTCACTTTTGTCTTGTCTCTTCAGCACTTCAGTGTTGCAATGCTATAGTTCTCATGTATCAGCTGTCTTCAAACCTAAATAATATAAGTGATATTAACAGAGACTCTACTGTACCTATATGTTTCCATAGCCCTCATATCTTCATCATCAAAATCATCTTCAGCTTCCTTCAACTGGGCAAGAGTCATTTTTTCATATGGTTTGGCTAAAATGCAATAATTCAGTAACCATTAAATGTGTTTCATCTATGGAAAGCACTGTTAGAGACTGAGAAAAATACAAAAATAACTGAAATGATGCTGCCTTCATGAAGCTTACATTCTAGCAGGCATATACCACAGAAAAATAAGCAATGATACAGAACAAATTTACAACAAAAGTACTGTATATGCTCTCATAAAAGCATAGTAGTTTAAAGGTAATTTGTGAGGCTGGAGGAAAGGAAAATAATTTCCAACCAGGGGTGGGGATGGATCACAGAAGGATGCCTGGAGGAGGTGACATGTCAGTTAGGACTTAAAATAATGGATAAGGGAAGAAGAAAGAAAAGAAAGGGAAGGGAATGAGATTCATGGTACAGGAAAGGTATGGATGAATGCATAGAGGGCCAGATGAAACTAGAAAATGATAAGCCTAATTTGGTTAGTTGCACATGAAATGTGACCTACAATTAGAAAGATAGGGGGTTATAAAGTGTTTGAATGCAAGACTAAGGGGTTGGGAGCCAATGAGAAGTTTTAAGCAGAGAAATAATATGACCAGATCTACATATAAAGAAGATTAATATAGCAGAGGTATGAAGGATAGATTGTAGGAGAGAAACTAAGAAAACTGATTAGAAGACCATTTTAGTGATCAAGGATTATTGTCAAGAAGACTTGTATTAGAGTGATAGCTTAGGAAATAGAAAAGAAAAAAAATTGACAATTAATGCATAGGGAGAATCAACATGGCGAGCTTTACTATTTGACTATGGGAGTTGGAGGAGTAGGAAAAGTCAAAGATTACATACAAGTTTCAAGCTTGAGTGATGTCATTAACAAAAAGAGTTATAATTAAGAAGGAAAGGTTGGTTTTGAAGAAAAAATAATGTGCTCTGTTTTTTGGACATGTTGAATGTGAAGTCTAGAACCTTTAGGTGGAAATACCCAGTAAGCTGTTGGGAATGGGAGTCTGGAGCTTAGGGAAGGCTGGGAACACAGTGAGTTACCTGTGTGAAGATGAGTCGTTGAAGCCATGGAACGAGAAGAGAGTTCCAAAGGATTTACTACAGCAAAATAAAAGACCAGTACCAGAGCCTTGTGAAGCATCCAGCTTAAGGGGTGGGGAAGGGGAACCAGGAGAGTATGAACACAGATGACACAGAGGGAATGGTCTCTATGTAGCAGAGAGATTTTGGGTAAGTTGAGAGAATAGTCAGATTGAAGTTAGATTAATAGGAGAAGAATGAATGAGGGTTAAAGAAAATATACAGATTACTTTTTTTTAGGTTTGGCCATACAATGGCAGTGATAAATGGGACAACTTCATGGATAACAGAATGGAGACAAGATTATTGTTTTACTACACAGCATTATTTTTAAATAGTGGGGAAAACTCCACATGTCTGAAGATATGTGACAGAACTAATGGAAAGACAGGACATACAACTATGCATGAGGAAAGGATAATTGATGGAACAAGGTCTTGGAGAAATCAGGAATCAAAGGTATAGAGGGAGAGGCTAGTCTTGGGAATGAGTAAGGACACCTCTTATTCTCATGTAGCATAATTATCTCATGTAGCATAATTATCAAATATATCATAAAATTATCATATAACTATTTCGTTTTTTTCCCTCACCCCTAAAAACATCTAGACAAACCTAAACCAGAAATATTCTGAAGGCTAGAGTTTCACTTATTGAAGATTCTATTCAACACTCAAGTATCCTTAGCCCTCACAAAATGTATAACTGAAATTTAAAGCTAAGAGGAGAATCTACAACTTAGTGATTCATATGAAATAAACCCAGTGATTAGACACTGCAGCAAAGTAGTAAACCACAGGGTAGTATTTCCTAAACTAACCTAGATACAGATGATTTTTACACTTGAAAGAAATTAATGGAATACATAAATGTTGGTCTGGAGAGTCAGAATATGGAATACCTCTGGGTTAGAGGGATGCTATGGAAATTTGGGTGCAAATTATTACAAAGAATAAATAAAATGAAACATAATGAATATATAATGATTATTCATACCTCATTCTATTAACTTTTTTTCATGAAATTCCTATTTACATTATTTGAAACACCCGAATTACATAAAAAATAGCTTGGGAAACAGTGTCTTACGGGATTTTCAAATGAAGAATTAATGTGATGATGAAGAAAGAATACATTGTACTAAGAGTCCGAAGACCCCAATCCTTGTTCTGTCCCTAACTTGCTGTGTAACCCTGAATAAATATCTGCATCTCTCTGTGGGTCTGTTTCCTCACAGATAAAAATAAGGGGATTGAATTAGATAATCTCTAGATTCCTGTGATCCATTACTTCTGTGGTATTGTTACTCTAAAGATTATTACCCGTTGCTTCTTTCTGTAAACGTAAAACCATTTCTTCAGTCTCATCCTTTTTTTCTTCTTTTGGAGGAAGAATTCCAAAATCTCTTAATATATCATTCCACTCAGTATCTTCATTAGGATCCTATTTTGCAAAAGAATGGAAACAAACAAACCTGTTGTCTTAGGCCAGGTGCATCATGGCCCCATATGCAAGTTCAGGATCTGAGTAGACAATCAATAAAGCAAATAATAATAATTTTTTAAAAAACTCTTTTACTAAATATGAAAATCCAGTAAGACTATATAAATAATACTCAGGAAGGACATTCAGGTGCAGCTCTCCAGGTCCCTACACATGGGGACATAACAAGACAAAAAACAATAGCTTGTCCAGGAATATACAGTTTATCAAATCCAAAGAGCTACTCTCTCTATTCGGTATTGGTTTACATAAGATTATCCAGAAAAGCATTTAGCCTATCCCACTTTCCTTGCTCCTAGTCATCTGCTCCTAGGACTTCAGATTTATACAATGGTGGTACAGCACTTTTAGAAAGAATAGAACCTAGTTTTGTAAGGGAAGACAGTTATGGACTCATTAAGGTTTCATTCTCCATCTCTCTTGGTCACTTGCAACTTATAGTATCTGCAGATTTCACTAGATGATTTGCCATGTGCCTTGAAAAAAAAAAACAAAATTAGAAAACAAATGTAGGACACAAAGCATAAACCTAACTCTCATAACCTTATATGACAATCTGCAATTAAAAAGCTAAGGGGAGAGTCCACTTCAAAACCAGCATTTCCTAGTCATATGCCATGATTCAAGTCTCAGAATCTTCTAAGCAGGCATGGGGCATGAGGTCAGAGAGGTCCCAGGGGAGTACTAAAGAGTAGTTTGGGTGCTGTAGGTATATTTTAATTCAGAGGCAGCCCAGAGTATTTCGGGGTGAAGAAAGTCACCCAATCTTGGAGGACAGAAAAGGAACTTTTGTTTTGAATAGGAAAGGGTATCCTCTCAAGGTTGTGAGTAAAGCATCCAGACAACATTACTAGAAGTTGGTCTTAAGAGCTGGAGGGTTCTTCTTGGCACTCTCATATTTTTTGGACTAAATAATCAATAAAATAAAAAGAGTTTTAAGAGTAAGAGTAATGAGTTTTAAGAATAATAAAAAACAAAACCTTATTATCTATCACATATAAGAAATACATTTAAAAAACAAAGACATTCACAGAACATAACTGGAAGATGGAAAAAATGACTGCATCAAGTAAATTCTAAAAAGTAGGAGTAACAATCATGCTATCTGACAAAATCAAACATTTTAAAAATAAAAAGGGATTAACAAAGAAACTATATTATGGTGAAAGAAACAAAAGGCAACAAACCAATATGAGCACTAAACTTATATACTTCAAATGCCTTCCATGACCCTGGAAGAGACAGTGAAGCTGATGACTTTGCACAGTTCTGCCTCACTTAAATCCAATTCATGCACAAGTCAAGACATCACTCTGTACTGTCAGTGGTCCTCGTCAAAAACAAAGCACGAGCAATGATATTTACTGAGCTATAAAAATACAGACAGTAACAATATTGACAGGAGACTTCGATATCTCTCTCTCTCTCTGTTTATCTCAGAAACATAAACAAAAGGGAAAAATATGGAACTGAACAAATTGTTGGAGAAACTAGAGCTAAAAGACTTATGATGTCTTCTAAATGGGACTGCAAATGAATATATGTATTTTTCAGCACAATGTGGAATTTTAAAAAACTGACCATGTATTAGGGTGCAATATATTGCAAACAAATGTAAAAAGGTAGAAATAGTAAATACAACTCAGAATTGAAAGGGACATCAGAGTTCATTTGATCCAACACATCCCTAAGGATCCCTTCTACACCATCACCTACAGATAAACTTTGCTTAAAAACTTCCAGGGAAAATATTCCCACTACCTCCTGGAAAAGTCAACTCCATTTTAATAGCTTTTATTATTAAGAAAAACTGCCTAATAGCTGTCCTTTGTGGTTTCACACAATTACAGAAAGTTAGAGATAAAGGATCATCCTAACCTGAATAAAAATCCCCTCTACAATATATCTGGCAAAAAGGTCACCTTCGGCTTTGCTTGAATACCTCTAGGGCAAAGGTATCCCATAACTGTCCAAGACAGTATTTTTTATATTGATAAATTTTGTTTTGACACAATCATCACTTCCCAATAAACAACTCTTCTTTACAGAATCACAGTATAACACTTGGGACACACAGCTAATGTAACTTCCTGCTTACAGTTTACTATATACTAAGAGAAAAGAAAGTGTCTTTTCCCAGTTATCTAGAGCTATTCATGGGTATTCTATTATACATTATGAGCACAGTATAATTATTCTTTTGATTCTGCTTATTTCATTGTGGTTCAGTTCATGCAAATCTTTCCATGTTTCTCTGAATTCTTTATATTTGTTGCTCCTTGTGTAACAGTAATATTCCATTGTTTATATTCCACAACTTGTTCAGTTGTTCTCCAACTGATGAGCACATAATTTGTCTCTAATATTTTGTAACTACAAATAGAATAAATAATGAATATTTTTGGTGTATATGGGACATTTCTACCTTCTTGGGGGTATAAATCCAGTATGTGGGATCACTGGATCAAAGAGATTAGTACTTTTCTCCCACAGTTTCAAAATGTTTTCTAAAAACTATAAATGATCTCATAGCTCTACCTATAGTGTACTGGTTATCTATAATTTAGTACTTTTCTCACACACTTTCAAATCACTTTCAGTGTCTCCCCAAGAGAGCAAGCAATCTGATATAAGTTATATATGTGCTATAGTGTAAAACATATTTCCACATAACTGACATTGTTCTTATAGGACTATGCTTGCAAGTTCTATGTTAATTTTGGTTTTATATTAATTCTCTTATCTGCTCTTTGAGATTCTAAGCTAACTTTAATACATCAATAAATTTGTGATTTCATTAATATAAACACCTCCTCTCTCTTTCAGGTGCTACAGACTGCTCCCAATCACACCCACACTGTGTAATTCTTGTCCATGTTCTCCTGCGCAGAGGGAGAACCTCTATAGAGAATCTATTCAGTCTGCTGGGGTTGGGGTGGGGAAATCTTTCTCTAGGTCTTTTTTACATTTCATGGGTGCATTTGTTACACAAGTAACTCATCTTTTTTTTTTTTTTGAGTTTACATTTCATCAATTATATCTTTCTTTCTTTCTTTTTTTTTTTTTTTTTACCACTTCTTGCAGCAAATTTCTGGAAATATACTACAGCCTACTCATACCCACCATGGAGTTATAATTCCATCGCTATTTCAATCCCTTGACAACTTTAAGTCTTTGGAGACTGTATTCTAAGATTGGGAAACCAAAAAAAAAAAGCATCCTTGGAACAACACTTCCATTAAAAAGATGATTTTTTTGTGCTAAGAAGAAACTGTAATTAATGTAAGTACTTTGCAATTTTCGAGTGTTCTCTCTCTCTTTCTCTCTCCTTCTGTGCCCAACCACATTGTTCATCTTCAGTGCCTGTCCCAGATACATACACTAATATACTGGCCATCTTAATGAACATTGCTCTGAACAATAAACATTTTTAGTCTATTGAGATTTTTCCATTATGGATTCTCAGGTCAATTAATTTTGAGATAAAGCATTTATTAAGCACTTACCATGTGGCAGTCACTGTACTAAGTTCTGGGGAAGAACACAAGGAAGAAAGAAAAGGAGAGAAGGAAGGAAGGAGCCAAGATGATTCCTTCCCTAAGGAGCTTACATTTTCATGGGAGAAGATAAACACATAAAAAGGAGCCAGAAACTAATGGGGGAGAGACCTATATAGGGGAAAGGCAAATAGAAGTACAGCAGAGCACAGAGTGAGCAGGGAGTGAACTAAATAACATGGCTGAAGCTTTTCAATACATGGCCATCCTCACCAGGAACTCACCAATCAATTATGGCCAGTTATAAGGATGGAGTAACCATGGATCTCATTGTGAAGCTGTAAAATGGTGGTATGCAATAGAAAATAATTTACAGAAACCTGCCTCTTCTTTTCTCACAATTTCAACAAACATACCATTGATACGCACATAGATAAATCTCACAAAGATTTTAAAAAGATGACAGAGTAGGCAATTAGGTCAGTATTTATTGATGTCCTCTCAGTTGCCTTTTGAGGGGGTTAATCCCTTTTGATATTATCCCTTACCTGTGCTACCTTGTAAGATGGTCCCTCAATTCTTTCAAAACTGTGCTGGAGGTGACACAAATTTCCTCTCATGTATTTTTTCCTAGTCCAGTCCCTCTTCTCAACTACTTCAGGTGTCAATTCCGTTTTCTTGGAAAGTCCCAGTGGGGTCCAAGGTGGTGGTTGCACTCTGATTAATGATGGGGATGAATTATTAAAAAGCTGACAAGTCTGTGCTACTCTCATTTATTTGTGGTCTTCCTGCTAGTTTTGTCTATGGATGCCCTTAGGGTGTTCCAGTTCATTTGGTTGTTACACCATGCTTACTATAGAAGTATTTTCATGTCCACTGCTTTTTACATTTTAGGGGCAAAACCATTAATAATATCTTGCCATTTTCTCTGTAGTGTTTCACAAATAAATATGTATTCTAAATGAATTTTTCCATGGCTGCCAGGTCACTGGATCATAACTATGCTTTCTCAGACCCCTTTGAAATATGCTCTCTCAAAATCTAAGCACACAGTAAAGCAGTGATTCTTAACTTTTTTTTTAATGTCGTGGGTCCCTTTAGCAGTTTAGTGAACTCCATAAAATCCTTTCATACAATAATATTTTAAATGTTTAATATAAGAGACATAAATTACAAAGGAAGCCAATTATATTGAAATGTAGTTATCAAAATATTTTTAAAAAACAAATCCATGGACCTCAGGTTAAGAACCTCTGGAATTAAAGTATTCCTGGGTTAACTCACCTAATTTATCATGATTATAAGATGAAGTGGCTACTTTTCCCCAAAGGTTCTTCTCTTTGAACACTCTCTTGGTCCTCTCATTAG